ACATAATCTTTAACTAGCCCCAGAAAAGGTACAACAAGAATTTCCCTATCAGTCATCAATTGTTATATTCTGGTATCTGTCCTCAAAAGATTACTTTAAAGCTGGGCAGACTGACCACCCTTAATGATTTTCAAAAATTATTGGGAGGTATAAATAGGGTTTGATCTAGTTTGGTCCCCTTAGAAACTGCTGCTTATATAGCTCCGGTCTCTCGTGTACAGAAACATTTACTAGCCATACAAAGGCTACTATGGAGACTCTCATTCAATTTTTGTAGGACATCTCCAAATGCATTCTGATTTGCCTGGCCCTTTGGGTGAAGGAAATGCCATTGCTAATTTTAATACTAAAACAGATAATGCCATTATGGTAATGCAAGAATCTTGTTATGAAGCAGCCTGAAAATCTCATACAACCTCCCACCTTAATGCAGGGTCACTTAAATTCCACTTTAAAATTAATGTAGTTAGAATTATCTCCTATGTGCAGAGTTCTTACCTTGAGTTCCACACCTTGGAGTTAACCCCTGGGGTGTCACACCTAATGATATCTGGCAGATGGATGTTACCCATATTTCTTCCTTTGGCCGACTACAATTTTTTCATGTATCTGTGGATACCTATTTCCATTTCATATTTGCCTCTGCTCATACTGGAGAAAGGCTTAAGGATGTTAAGAGCCATTGTTTACAAGCTTTTGCTTATATGGGAATGCCCAGACAATTAAAAGCTGATAATGGCCCTGCTTATACCAGGGTTTCAACTCCTTTTGCAAAAAAAAAAAAAAGTTTTTTTTATCTCACATAAGATGGGTATCCCTTACAATCCTCAGGGTCAGGCCATGGGGGAGCGTGCACATTGCACAATTAAAGCCTATCTTCATGAAACAAAAAAGGGGGAATTTATAGGGTCTTCTCATAATCACCTTTCTCTTGTCCTTTATATTTTAAAATTTTTAACTATTGATGGTTTTGCTCCATCTGTGGTCAACTGGCATTGGCACCTTCGGTCATCTGACTATGGTTTAGTTATGTGAAAGAATGTCACTGCTGGACAATGGTGTGGCCCCAACCCAGTTCTAGTATGGGTCTGAGGGTCAGTTTGTGTCTTTCCACAAGATGCATATAACCCTGTTTGGGTATCTGAGCATCTGATTCGCTATATGGGGAGGGACTGTGATTGTAGCAGCCAGAAAGAAGGTCCAATGGGCCTTCATCAAGAATCTACCCATTCTGATGCCTGTGGGTCTGAGTAGCTCTATGTGGCCCTTTTTCCTGACCACTAACTATAGTTTGGGTCAAGCGGCTATAAATTTACACTTTGATCCAAAAGATAAGAATTTCATCTTCATCTCAGGCACTTGTATTCTGGTTCCCTTCTTTTTTGTCGTAACTAGTGCTACTAATTTTGGAGGAAGTTTCAATTGTTCTCAGCAGGTCTGCTGGACATATGAAGTAACAGCTGTCATGGGCCACATACCCCAGGTAGTACCTATGCCGGAGACCTCTACAGATGACCAACTTGTGCAGCAGAGAGGAAAGGCTGCCTGTGCCGCCTCTGCCACTGAAGCAACAGTTTCTAGGATAGCCCTCTCCCAATCTATAAATACTGAAAGCACAGTAGATCAACTATCAGGTGATTTGGCTGAAGCCTTAGTCACCCAAAACACACTTGATTATCTAGTACAAATTGGCATTTTAAAACTAAATCTACAAACTAGCCTCCTATATGAACACTTGAATTTTTTGTGAGAGGCTCATATGGCTTCTTCTCTCTCTTTCACACATGTCTGTGTTAATCCATCAGTGGTAGTTACTTTTCTCCAGGGATCCTGGAGTGATGAGTTTTTAACGAACACATGCTTTAGCCATACAGGTCATTAACATCAATGAAACCTGAGTACCACCTGCCAGTGCAGAAGACCTTTTACAAGGACTTCAACTTGTGGGCAGATTATTTAGAGATTCGGCAAGCTCTCTCACTGGGATTCGTAGCCCTTGCACTTGGTGTTACTTCGCCACAGCATTAGACAGGCCCAGGCCAACTTTCAAACAAGACAGATTCTGTCTTTGGCTCAAGAGAAAATGCCTCTGCCCACATGAGACTGACAAACTATTCACCAGACTGGTAAGGCAGAAGGGGGCAAATATCCAACCTAAGCCAGGAGGGTTATGGGCCTGTGTGACCTATCCAATGATGGGTAAGGAATTATGCTGACGTCCTCTGCCACCTAAGACAGGTGTTAGTTTATATTAAAAGAAAGGGGAACCTGTAGGACCCTGCATGGACCCACAAGGCACTTTGACTAAGCCTAAAGCTGGTGGCTGGAACTCTTTGACCCAAAGCTGTTGTTGGTACTCTTCCCATTTTGATAACACACACCTTGTGATAACACACCTCGTAGGGAGGAGCTAAACCTAAAAATCCTGTTATTTTTCACTGTGCTGTAAGTCAGAATTTAAGCCTGTTTCTTCCCCTCAATAAACGGCATTCAGACATTGCCACTGAATGAATGACCTGCTGTCTTGTCTCTTTATTTCAATTTCTAGGCCTTTGTGGAACAGATCGTAGTACAGGAGCTACAAAGCATGCCTGTTTTCTTGACCCCAGCTCAAAAAACATCTTGTTTGCCTACCCTTTCTTTCCTCTCCAACTCTAACTGTCCTCGAGTTTCTTTCTTGAGTCATCAGTGATAAGGTGAGGTTTTAGGCTTATGGGAGCAAATATAAAGAGTTACCTCTCAGTAACAAGAAATCAGTTTTACAGACACAGTTTGAAAGATTGGGAATTAGATAGACTCCCTGGTAGGCAGATAGGGAGAGGGGCATGGCTAGGTATTAAAGGTGGAGAATTTCCAAGATGGCCAGCTTCTTCTTGGCCTTCCTGACTTTCATCTATTGTCAGTAGGACCCCTGCTGATTGACTAGCTCAACAAGTTCAAGTCTTGGTGACATTATACAACAGTTTCTGGGCAATCAACCATTCCGTATTTCTTCAACTGAGCAATCCTAAATTAGGGAAAGACTCTTCAGAGGCTTAAAAAACTCCAATCCCAGGAAGAGACTAAATTTTTTGTTTTGGCTGAGTCTCTGCTCGGCTTTGTAGTCTTTTTTATTTTTCCTGTATGTCTGCTGTGTTCATGTGTTTCCTCACTCCCAATAAACACCTTTCTTTATCTGCTAATTCTATGTGGTGTTTGAGATTTCTCTGATGCCACAAAACCAAATCTGATCAAGATCTCTAGACTCTCAAATTGGGGCTACAGAGATAGACAGGATTATAATCTGACAAGGTAAACAGTCATTGAGGCTATACAAAGGGTTTAATATATGTCTTTTTCCTATAAATGAAATTTCTAGTGCGATTTCTAGTAATGCAAGCTTTATGGTTGAGAAGAGAGAGGACCTCCGGTACATAACTATTGGAAATCTTCTCTCTGTTGGCAAAGGCTGACATCTAATTCTATGATGCCAATGCCCCAAGTAGGTCATCTAACTATCTATCGTATGTCATGGGCCAACAGGCAGAGAACCCCAATATCGGGAGACATTCAGGTTGGTTCAGACTCACACAGTGGCCCAACAACAGCAGCTTCTTTCCTGCAGCTGGGTTTGTGGCTCATAATTTAATAGAGACTGTTACATCCCCATCAGTTTCCCAGCTTTGGATTCCCATGACTTTTTAAACAGCTTGCCCCTTTTTAACCTTTTGTAGTCAGTGTAACACACATATCTACATATGTAAACATACAGAAATAAACTTACTGAGTGATGTGTGTGATGTAAGGGTTAATATTAGTGGTTAAAACTGCAATAAAAGAACCTGTGTTTGCCTTAGCCAAGGCTACCAAGTAAAGCAGGACTCTTTGGTGTCAATGTAACTATGGCACTTGTGGCATTTATTGTAATTCAATAAATCCCGATACTGTGAACACACATAAACATGTCCATCTATTTCTGACATATTATGCATGTACATGAGTCAATCTATACGCCCTGAGTCCATCTCAGAGGTGATGGTTAAGTAACTTGGGGCAAGAGATGAATTGCAAAACAAGAAGTAGAAACGTGGTGGGAAGATGATTCAGTGGTGTGGATCGGAAAGGGAGAAAACAGAGGCAGTAATTACCTCAGGGTCACTCACAGATATCAACGCATTTACACACACACACACACACACAATTTACAATTGACTTTATAAGGCCCTAATGTGCACACAGGCCCGTTTTCTTCTACACCTTCTAGGATGGGGTCGTCTGCTCTCCACTAGTTAGGGCAGAAGGACCCGGGCCTCTGTATATAAGTTTTTATGGCTCCTTAACCCTTCTAGTTTTTGGCGGGAACAGAACTTCATGTATTGGAAAGTACTTCTCCACACGCTGAAAAACAAAGAAGAAACGTAGACTACTAGGAAGAAGCGCAACACAAACAAGTTAAAGGTCAAGAAGCTGCAAAGTAAAGCCAGTGTGCAGCTCTGAAAGATCTAAGAAAGGGAGGAGACCGTACTGTGAAAGGTGAACCGAGGATACGGGAGACTGACCCGGCCTCACTTTGCAACGGCCAGGCCGAAAGGAGCGCTGCAGCTGCCTGCACACTGCGGCGCCGAGCCCCTCCTGCGCTCCGCCACCTCGGCTCAATGCTTGTCTTGCAGGGAGCATCCTAGTGTCTCCACGCCGCTCTCTCCAGGCGGGACTAATGCTGAACGCTCGCACATGCCCGGGCCCACCTTCTCCCCGGGCTCATTCACAACCTACATCCCCAGCCGAGCATGCGTAGTGACGAGAACAGGCCAGGACCAATCAGAGCGTGTGTTACGGCCACAAGCTGCCCAATCGGGAGGCGTCTTATTGCCCGGGAGTCCCGCCTCTCGCCGCCTCCTCGCTGACAGGCGCGCTTCGCGCGGAGGAGCGAGGCGAGCGCGCCGGACAAGCCGAGGCGTGCCCTTCCCGCGGCGGTGGCGGTGGCGGCGGCGAAGGTGGCGGTGGTGGCGGCGGCGGCGGGCCAGGTGGCCACAGTCCCAGCCGGGTCCCGAGGCCCCGCGGCCCATGCTGGGGGCGGAGCCAGGGTGGAGGGCGGCGGCGCGGCCGGCCCCGCGCGGTGATTGGCGGGCGGCCGGCGGTGGCTGAGGTCCTGGCGGCGGCGGCGGCGGCGGCGGGCGAGGGAGGCAGGCGGAGTCGCGGCTGGCGAGCCGAGAGGATGCTGCTGTCCCTGGTGCTCCACACGTACTCTATGCGCTACCTGCTCCCGGGCGTCTTGTTGCTGGGCTCGGCGCCCACCTACCTGCTGGCCTGGACGCTGTGGCGGGTGCTGTCGGCGCTGCTGCCCGCCCGCCTGTACCAGCGCGTGGACGACCGGCTTTACTGCGTCTACCAGAACATGGTGCTCTTCTTCTTCGAGAACTACACCGGGGTCCAGGTGAGGCGCGGCCCGGGACGGCGCCGCTCTCAGGCCGGCGAGCACGTGCCGCCGCAGCCGGCCTCCCTCCCGCCGCGGGGGGTGGGGTGGAGTGGGTGGGAGGAAGTTTCTGGGTCTCTCACTTTGGGGTTCCTTCTGGAACGTCCTGCAGAGGGCTGAGTGTGTCCCCGGGTCCGCCCCGCTCCCCCACCCCTCCACCCCCGCCTCGGCCGGCTGTTACTGCCGGTCTCCGTGCCTGGCAAAGTAGGGCATGGAGTCGGAGGTGGTGATGGTGGGACTGGCTGCATCTGCACTTCCGAGGTCTCTTAGATTAGCAAGCCCTCTAGACGCTGACCCAAGTGACAGTTGTGAAGGACAACTCTTGCCTCGCCTTCCTCCCCGGCTGAAAAGCGAGAGCCTGGCGAGGAAGTGAATACATTGGTTGTTACAATAGGAGCCTCGCTGTGGATACAGTTCTCCGCCAGCTTCCACCGGGCTCTAGTGTGGGACTGATCACTGGTCAGATTGCTTTCTTCCCGCTACTTGTTTTCTTCTCTGTGGAGACTGAACTTGGAAAACTTGGAAAACAATCAAAGGAGAGAAGCCCTCCTAACATGATTTCGTTGCATTTTTCGTTTTCAGCTCGAAGGAAGAGCTCTGTTTGAGTTGTCACTGATGTTCAGGGTGGGCAGAATGGAGCTGTATCATTTGTTTTTTCTGTGTCTGTTGATGCAGTTGGGGACGAATCGCTGATTTGAGTTTGCACCAGTTGGAAATGATGTCCGGGGAAGGGAATTAGGAGAGGCTAGGAATCACACTATCTGTTAAATGTTTTCCTAGGAAGCAGATAAAATCACTGTTCCACGTCAAGGTTTCTGAGCAGCTGACTTTTAGAATAGGGTGTCATTCAGAATTTTCAGGAATTCTAAGCTAATGGCTTCCTCCCTCACTTTGACTTCACTAAGTTTGTCAAATGGATGCATGGTTTAATCGTGGGTATTTAATTTCACATATTTTCGATAGCAGTTGGGACAGCTGCAAATGCCACTTAAGGTTGGTGACCTTGCACATGACAAGTACCCCTCACTCAGAGCCTCAGGGACCTCTACTCAAGTGCAGCCCATGTTCTTGCTGCAGAGACATTCAGGATGAGTCAGAGTGAAGCAAAGTTAGCAGGTTTATTGATTGGGAGAGAGGACATGCATTTGAGGACAGTCGAGTGTGAATGTTATGAAAGGAACATACCCTAGTGCTACAGCAGCTGCTATTGTAGAGGTGATTTGAGGCCTTTGGGTTTGAAGGAGTCATTCCTTTAGTTTTTTCCTTTTTAATTTAAATGTGAAACAAGTATGTTTTTCATGTCAATCCCAGTTCCCTCACCCTCCCCTTCTCCCCTCCTCCCTTGTCCTCCCCCAACCCCCAACCCATCCCTTTTCAGCTCCCTAGGGAGGGTGAGGCCTTCCATGGGGAGTCTTCAAAGTGCCATATCATTTGAAGCAGGCCCTAGGCCCTCCTCCATGTGTCTAGGCTGAGAAAGTATCCTTCTATGTGGAATGGGCTCCCAAAATCCATTCATGTACTAGGGATAAATACTGATCCACTACCAGAGGCCCCATAGACTGCCCAGTCCTCCCAACTAACACTCACATTCAGGGGGTTTGGATAGGTCCTGTACTGGTTTCCTAGCTAACAGGCTGGAGTTCATGAGCTCCCCCTTGTTCAATGTTCAGGTGAGCTGTTTCTGTGGAATTCTCCAGCCTGGCCTTGACCCCTTTGTTCATCACTTGAAGGAGTCACTTTTAAAACTAAGATTAAGGGGGGGGGGGGGAGATGAGTTCCTCTCCTCTTTCTGTATCAAGCTTTAAAAACAAACCAACCAGGTTCTCACCATGTAGTGCTGGTGGGTGGGAGTGTTTACATAGACCCCATAGTCCTCCAGCTTACAGAGGTCAGCCTGCCTCTATCTTCTGAGTGCTGAGAGTAGAGGCATGAGCTACCATGCCTGGTTTAAACTTTTTAGTATATGAAATTTAAAAGGGGTTTGTGATGACATGGAACACATTTACACATGAGGAAGAAATATGGTTAGATAGGATATAGATCAAAATAAAATCAAAGTAATTAACTGTTCCTTGGTCACAAAAGTTTAAGACATACACTTTTTTCTACGTTGGCTCACTAGCCATATTGATAATCTTATGTGCAATAGTTTTAAAAAATATGTACAGTGTAGGATAGTCTCCAGGCAGCTGTATCCAAACTCTTACTCATCAACCAATTCCTCTTGAGGTGTGTATGTGAGGGGCTCTTTTGCTGTTAAAAGCAGATTTTGTGGATATTACATTGGATTCTGTGTAAACATAAGATCTTTCCTAGTCTCATTTTTGAGATCATATTTGTTGCTAAAAATCTGAATAATTTGTATATCCTTTCAGGTTTAAAAAAAAACTTGTGTGCATGTACATGTGCATATGTACTTCATGTACATAGATATTTGTATTCATGATTGTGGGACGCTGTACCATGGTATACATATAGAGGTCATAGGTCACCTTGAGCATTAATCTTCACCTTGTACTTTTGAGTCAGGATCCCTTGCTCACCACGAGTGTGCCTGCTCAGCTGGCATTTGTGTTTCCAGATCCTATCCTGTGTCTGCTTCCATCTCACCGTAGGAGCAATGTGTGGCTTCATACGGGTTCTGGGGATCTGATTGCAGGTCCTCATACTGGTGTAACAAGTGCTTTACCCACTGAGCCATCTGCCCATACCAGTATAGATAGAGCTCTCTGGGTTCTTGTAGTCTATCACTGCTAGAAGTGAGCCCCCTTCACCAATCATCCCTTGAGGGTAAGTAGTGGGATGTTTTGAAGTTTTACTAATCTAAAATCCATTTAAAGGGGACCAGAGAACTGAAGAGATGCCAGCAGCTCTTACAGTAGACTGAAATTTGCTTCCCAGAACCCATGTTGGCTGTGTCACAGCCACCTGTAACCCTAACTGTGGGTCTGATACCTCTGACCTCATATACTAGCACATACTTGCACATATTCCCACCCCTCAGTACACATACTTTAAAATTACTTTTAATCTTAAGGGAAAGAAATGCAACTGTAGTCTCTTTAACATTGTAAAAAGTCCATTTCTTCTTGAGGCTACAACAGATTACCTCAAGCTTAGTGGCTTAAACAGATCAGGTTATTATTATAGCTCTAGAGGCCAGAGGTCTGAAATTAAGGTTTAGGCTGAATTTCATTCCCTCTAGGATGTTTGTCTCTTTCAGTTTCTGGATGCTGGCTATTTTCTTTGATTAGAGGCCCATCCCTATCTGCCTCATAGTGTCATTTCCCCTATTCTATCTCAAATCTCCATCTTCCTTTTATTGTGGTGACGTTTGTCATTGGATTGTAACCTGTAGATTCACCTAGATAATCTAGGACAATTTTGATCTCCTCAGGATTCTTAGTTACAGCATCAAGACTAGTTAAAAACAGAATTAACAAAACATTTATTTACTTGTGTGGGTACATGTGTTAATGGTGTGTGTATGGAGATCAGAGGAAAACTTTCAGGAGTCACTTCTTGCCTTCCATGTAAGTCCCAGGGATTAACTTTAGGCTGTCAGGCTGGGCAGCAAGCATCTTTACCTGCTGAGCCATCTTGCCAGTCTTGGAGACACCTTTTCAAAGTAAGAGAATGTGCACATCTTCTAAAGCCTAGGGCGTAGGGTTTTGGCACCACTATTTAGTCCTTTACAACAATGAGTTCTAAATACTCAGTATTTTGTTTTTATTTCTTAGTTTAGCTTTGTAGCTTAGTATTTGTTTTTGCTTTCTTTGATATACAGATAAAAGGCTGGCTTCCTCTGCTATGGTTATCTTAAATAATTTTCTGTAATCCTTCAATTTCTTATTTATGAATTTGTAAATTTACTTCATACATTCCTTAAGCAGAATATATGATTAGTTGTCTAATTTTCAGATCAAGTTGATTCTGAATAACAACTGGCTTCTTGCTCATGTTTTGGTGCTCTCTGAATGTGTGTGTGTGTGTGTGTGTGTGTGTGTGTGTGTGTGTTTATGAGTGTTTATGAGTGTTTTGCATGTATGTATGTGTACCATGTTCCTGCCTACAGATGATAAAAGAGGGCATTGGATTCTCTGGGACTGGAGTTTCAGGTGGTTGTGAAGCTACCATGTGGGTATTGGGAATTCACCTGGGTACTCTGCAAGTACTTTTAACTGCTGAGCCAACTCTCTAACCCTTTCTTAATTGATTGTGAAATGACTGTCTCCTAATAGCTGATAGTGCATCAAAACCCAACAATATGAGCAAACCCTTCAAACCAGACCTTATAACTTAGATGTGACATAACTTTTTGTTTTTGTTTTCAAGACAGAGTTTCTCTGTGTAGCCCATACCTGACTGCACCTAGGTGTGGGGACATGACCAGACTAAGCTGGGCCATGTGGGGAGAAGGGGAAGAGAACAGAGAGAGGAGAGAGGGGAACTAGGTGCAGCAGCCTGGAGGCCAAAGGTACAAAAGGGGTGGGTAACCATAATATCTGGATTATGTAGGGAAGAGCCTCTAGGGGAAGGGCAACCCAGCTCCAGGGCTGGAAGGTAGAGGGCGGGGCATGACAGCCATACCTTCTAACAGGCAGGGTCTGGGGGATGTTGGGAGAACCTGGAGGCCAGGTCTGATGTGATGTGTTAAATAGGCACCTCAGTTATTTGTCCCAGGCTTGAAAGTTAATACATAAGTCCTGAGTTCAAATTCCTAGCAACGATGTAAGAAGCCAGGCATGGTGTGTGTGCCTGTGCCCCCAGCTGTGGTGGATGGAGACAGCAGGATTTTGGAGCTTGCTGGCTGCCTCCCTAGTTCCAATTTTAGTAAAGACCCTTGTCTCAAGGGAATAAGATAGTGATAGAGCAGGGCACCAGAGATCCTCCTCTAGCCTCTAGGAGTGAGCATACACATACACATGTTCACACACCACTCACACCTACACTCCAGAATT